TGCGTGTGGAAGCGATGCCGGGGGGGAGCGTTTGGGGCTGGGTGTGGAAACCTTTGCGGGCTCTTGGATCCCGAACAGAGCCCCCAGTGTTGGCCGGGGCGGGGAGGAATGCAGGGGCCTTCTTCTCCAGCTGTTCCCTATTAGAGGCTCCCAACCCGGCGAGGATTTGGGCGGCCGCCTGCGCCGCTGCCATTTGATGACAAGGTCCAGCCCGACCTCCTCCTCCTCCTCCTCATCCTCTTTCCACCCGGGATGGCTTGAAGTTCCTCCTGCAGGAAACCAAAGCCCCCCCCCAAACCACCCCTCCACCCCAGGGGGCTGCTCCCCGGGAATCGGGGCTGGAATTGGCCCTTCCCTTATATAGCTGGCAGGAATGAGAGGGGAGGAATGCCGGGAGAGAGCGTCTGGGCGCGATCCCGCTGGTTTTTATAAACAGCTGAAGGGCCCAACCTCATCCATTTTGGGTGGGGAGGCCCCTGGGGGCGTTGGACACAACGGCAGGGAGGGAATATGCTCTCCAAAATCAGCTGCTCCGGGATAAATGTCCAGCCTCCCGTGCCTTAGCGTAGGCTTGCTGCCATTCCTTCCCACCCCGAGTATTTTTGATTTTATTTATTTTTTTTTTTTAATCAGCCATGGCAGTTTTTCCTTCAAATTGTATTTTCAGCAGTAGCGGCATCCCCCAGGTTGGGCAGGTAATTAAAAGGGGGTGATTTACCTCCTGACCACAGAAAATGATGAAGGAGAAAGGCGTTTTGAAGTCTTCCCAGGTCTGAAGTCGGCGTGGTGGCGTTTGCTCGCTGTCGGGCAAGGTGGAAACCAAGGGTTGGACCTTTCCCCTCTCGACCCATGCGAGCCATCCCTGCTTGCTCCTGTAGTCCTGGTGACCTTGCTTGGTGTGGGGATTTCTCCTGCGAGCCAAGCTTGGTGTCCAGCCCATCCCTTAGTGCATTTGTGGAGCTGCTGGTGCTTTTCCTGGTGTTTCTTCCCAAAATGAGCTGTTCCTCCAGGGCATTAGGTTGGATATTGGGAAAAATTTCTACACCAAAAGGGTTATCAAGCATTGGAACAGGCTGCACAGGGAAGTGGTGGAATGTCCATCCCTGGAGGTATTTGAAAGCCGGGCAGACATGGTGCTGAGTGAGATGGTTTAATGGTGGTTTTTGTCAGGTTGATGGTTGGACTTGATGATCTAGAAGGTCCCTTCCAACCAAGATGATTCTATGATTCTTTTAGTTGTAACTCTGACAGCAAAGCCTGCATCTGTTGAGTTCCCGCTTTCTCACCAAACGTCCCTCTGTATGGCTCTCACATGGGATGGATGTACCTGTGGATCCTGTGGAGCAGGACATGACCTCAAGCTGGGCAACCCTGTTGTGTTGGGTGAAGGGTAGCTGAGGTTTGCAGCCAAAAATTGTTAGGAGATAACACTGGAGACTGAAAGCTAACACTGCCTTCTTCATAAAGCCACCTGTATTTCATAAATAGCTTCTATTGAGTGTCCGTTTTGCAGCCTGGCATTTGTCACTTGCCCAGCAATGGAATCATACCAAGTTCTTCTGAAAAACATCATCATCATCTAACCTTCTGTTACTCTTTTTACTGCTTGAATCCCATTGTTTGCACAATTTGGGCTCAGTTTCCTCCCAGGCTGGGGCTGAGGTGGCTCCTGATACGTTTTCTTGGTGTTTGCTGACTTGGAAATGGTGGCTTCCTGCTTGTAGGTGCCCCGTCAGCATCCTTGGTGATGTTGGAGACGTGGCGATGGTGGAGTGAGGGACTACAGGGTGATGGGACTGCACCGCCTAGATAGGATGTCGGAGCTGGCTATAAAACGTAGGGTGGTCACCTTCAATGAAGCATGGGTGAAATCCTCTGTCTGGCGAGGGGTGTCACCATGACTTAAGCAATGCTGGTCTGAATGTGACATGCTGGTCATATGTGCCAGGTCAGGTGTCTCCGAATTGACTTAAATTGTGGGTTCTCATGAGAAGTGAGTTGTTTTGTATGTGTGGGACCTGTTGCTTGTCCCAACCTCGTTGGGAAGGTGGAAAAACTTGAACGTTCCCCTTAGTTGGCAGCCGTTAGAAGGAGGTGACAGCCCTGCCGTGTTCCTTGTTGGATGGGCACCATCCTTGGCAGTGTCATCACCAACAACTGAGATCAGGAGGGAGGCTGAAGGGAAACCAGAGCATGAGATCCTCACTGGCTGGTGGAGCTGTGCTCGTGAGCCTTGGATTGTGTGGACCAGGTGTGGAGGAAAACTCCACTCTACAAAGGTGTCCAGGTTGTTTCTTGCCGGGTAGACTCCAGGTGAGAGGTCTGCTGTGTGGCAAATTAGAGGGGGGAAACTCAAGGAAGAAAAATAACTCTTTTCAAGTAGTTAATTGACATGGAGAAGCGAGTATATTTATTTTGAAGGAGTTCTAGCTAACTTTTTTTCCAAGTGTGAGGATATTTTTGATAATGACAACCAAGCCCTGCTCGTTAAGACTGCACACCTTGTGTGGCTCTGCTGCCACTTAACGACCATCTGAAAGCCCTGAGGAGCCTCGGGCTTCTCTGCCTCTTTGGGTACCTGCTGAAGCATGGAGGGGTGGATATAACCACCTTGCTCACCTCAGAGGAGAAACATCTTGCAGAAAGCTACACTGGTGTCTTGGAGCACGCTGGAGGCGCGGTGATGACACGTGGTGCAGGGTCTGTGGGACCACCTGTAATCCACAGCGCGTTGTAAAGGTAAAATAGAAGTGAGAAGCAAACATGGAAGGAAATCTATACATTTCTTCATTAGGTGAAGTATACAGCTTGCGGTTATCCCACGCGGTGGTTATGAGTAGCCTCACAGAGCTTTAATGGTTTAACTGGTGAAGAATGTGGGTTGTTGCTAATTCAGTTTGAGCGCAAATGGCTTGGCCGCCCGTGCATGGAGAAGAATATGGAAACCATATTATCCGTGCCCAGAAATAGAAGTTTCAGGTATTACATAGCGCTATTTAAAAGCCAGCTATAACTTCCTTCCTTCCTTCCAGCCTGGCCTTGCTGGGCGGCTTCGCTCCCAGCTGCTCGGAGCCGTCAGGACACAGTGACCTCCTCCAAGCCACCAGTGAAGGTCAGGCAGGAGCCCAATGTGGTGGGACCCGTGGTGCTCCTGCACCCGATGGCTGGAGCTGAGCACCAAGAGGTGCTGGGGCAGGGTATGGACCTGATGAGGAGATGAAACCATGAAACCAGGTGTGTAGGCTTTTGGCATTGAGTGTAGGATGTGCTTCTGCTCTTGTCTGCTTGGGCATCACCTCTCTGATGGCCAGAGGTGTGACTGGGGGTTTTCTTGGGTCTTCCAGTGTAGACCCATGGCTTCCTAGCTTCTGCAGTCCCTGCTAGTTGACGGAGATGTTCCTGTGGGTCCTTCAGGCACCAAACACTCATCTCCACTGATGGCAGTAATGGCTTTAGGCTCTTGGTCTTGAAGGACAACAAGTGTTCTTTGCCCTGTGTGCAGGACATGAACCACTTCACGTGTTAAAGCCAAAATCTTTATTTCATTTCGGCAGGCTGTCAAGTATCACAGTGAGAGCATTGGGATGACCTAGATTCCTCATCCTGGAAAGGACTGGCCGGAGGAAGAGACAAGGGTGGCAGGGAGCAGTAATGCCTTTAATTAGACCAAGTGATGCAGCGGGAAAAAATGGCCAAGCACAAAGGTGCACCAGCTCAAGGGAGGGCTTATGTGGTTGTGGGTTGGTTTTTTTTCTCCCCAATGTACCAGCTGATCTATTAAAAGGTATTACATGTCCCTGCAGACCTCACCTCTTGCATCCTTAGGTGGTTGTGGCTCCAACCCTACGACTGTTCCTGCCACCTCGGCCACAGATGG